ACAAGCCAACAAGACTAACAAACACAGACGGGACGTGTCATTCAAAGTAGGGGACAAAGTCTGGCTTTCTGCCAAACGCTTTGAACCCGAACAAGGCTTGTCCAAGAAACTCTCGAACAAGTGGCTCGGTCCCTTCCCCATCATTGAACAAACCTCCCCCGTCATTACAAACGCCAACTTCCCCCTGACATGAGTCGTGTYCACCCAGTCTTCCATGTCGAGTACCTAAAAGAATACCATGAATCTCCGCTCCAGTTCGCCGACCATCCATATCCTAGACCTCCACCAATCATGCTACCCACAGACCCTAAATTCGTTGTCGAAACCATCATCGGCTGACGAACCACTCAGGTATCTGATCATCCAGAACCAATCACTGAATACAAAGTCAAATGGACCGGATACCCCGACGAAGAATCTACATGGGAACCTCTCTCTAATCTTAAGAACGCCATGAAACTTGTCCGCGCCTATGATCGTGCTAATCCTACGTCCTAGATACCTATATCACTATGGCATAAACCCCCGCTAAATATAGGCTCTACACGAAACTTCATCAGTCGTGCTTGTGTGGATAGACTGCGCTTAGGGGACCAATTGCAGCGGCTTAGCAGAACTATAGCTTCTACGCTGGCCAACAAGCACCAAATGGTAGTGAAAGACTATGTCAAGGAGATAACCTGCACCTTCTCCTATGGAGGAGGGGAAGTGACCCACAAGATCTCCTTCCTGATTAGCGACGAACTGCCATTCGATATGCTATTGGGCATGTGCTACCTCGAAGTCTCGCAACCGCAGTTTGACTGAGATAGAAAGGTGTTGATACACAAGTTGCCAAATGGTAGAACCGTTAGGCTGCAGAAGTACAAGGCTAGCAGTCTAGTGGAGAACTACGGCTGCATGTGCACTTCTTCTTTCTATAACTATTACAAGCAGAATCGCGAGGAGGGCATGTATCTAGTGTTTGTCTCTGAGAAAGGGGAGGTTGTTAAATCACCCCTAGAGATAGAAAAAATTGTCGCTCAATATTCAAACCTTTTTGAGGAGCCCACAGGCGTGGTAGAAAGGGAGGTTGTCCATGCAATAGAGGTTGTCCCAGGTAGTAAGGTGCCTAGAGGACGAATCTATAGGATGTCTCCTACGGAGTTAGATGAGCTTCGCCGCCAACTCAAGGAGCTCACAGAGAAGGGATGGATCCGACGTAGTACCTCCCCTTACGGTGCGCCAGTCTTATTTGTCCCAAAGAAGGGAGGTCCATTAAGGATGTGCATTGACTATAGGGGCCTCAATGCCATCACCGTAAAGAACGCCGAGCCCCTACCCCGCATCGACGACCTCTTGGATAGAGTGCAGGGATGCTGGTACTTCACCAAGACAGATCTGAAGTCCGGATACCATCAAATTGTCGTTAGACCTGAGGACCAGCACAAAACCGCATTTCAGACCACGTACAGTCTGAACGAGTTCGTGGTGATGCCCTTTGGTCTATGCAATGCACCTGGTACATTCCAGCACGCGATGAACAACATATTTCATGACTACTTAGACAAGTTTATCGTCGTGTACCTCGATGATATTCTTATCTTTAGTAGGACTGTAGAGGAGCACGTTGAGCACTTGAAAATAGTGCTAGGTCTCTTACGACAGCACCAGTATAAGGTAAACTTGGACAAATGCGAGTTTGGTCGCACCAAGATCTTGTACTTGGATCATGAAATCTCAGCAGATGGATTGAGGCCGGAAGATGCCAAGGTGGCCAGCATACGTGACTGGCCCAGACCTCAGACAGTTACTAAGGTCAGATCGTTTTTGGGGATGACGGGCTACTATCGTCTGTTTGTGAAGAACTATAGTACTATAGCTTCCCCATTAACGGACCTAACTCGACTTGACACCCCTTGGGAGTGGACTGAAGAGTGTGACGCAAGCTTCAAGAAATTGAAGTATGCTCTAACACACTATGAAGTTCTCAAACTTCCTGATCTTGACAAACTGTTTGTTGTGACCACAGATGCTAGCCAATATGGCATAGGCGCGGTCCTTGCGCAACAAGAGGGGCCAAAGTTGAGACCGATCGAGTATATGAGTAAAAAGATGCCTTCCAAGATGTTAGCTAAGTCCACGTATGAGAGAGAACTCTACGCCCTGTACAGAGCGCTTGTTCATTGGACACACTACCTTCTAGGGAGATTCTTCTATGTGAGGTCGGACCATGAGACTTTGCGCTGGATTAAGACACAACCTGTTCTGTCGGACGCACTCAAAAGATGGATTCAAGTGATAGACATGTATGACTATCAACTTGATCCTATCAAGGGTACGTACAACAAAGTGGCTGATGCATTATCGCGAAGGGCAGACTATTTGGGCGCGCTAGTCACTGAGTTTGGCATATCTGACGAACTCACTCGATCGCTGGTGGAAGCCTATCAGGGAGATCCAATTATGTCAGAGATCATCCGTAGATTCCAAGCAAATGACAAAACGACTTTGGACGAATTTACGATGGTAGATGGCTTGCTATTTCTCGAGAAGGCAGGGAATAAAAGATTGTGTGTCTCGTATAGTGAGTCTTTACGTAGTTTATTTTTAGGCGAGTGTCATGACGCAACTGGTCATTTAGATATAAAAAGACCCCAGCTAACCTAGTGCAGAGATTTTGGTGGCCTACTATGATGCAAGATACGAAAAGGTATGTTGAAACTTGCCAGGTCTGTCAATGGGACAAACCTAGGACTCAGGCTCCGCTTGGGCTCATCAAGCCCTTGCCGATTCATGAAGGTTCTGGTCAAAGTGTGTCCATGGACTTCATGGATACTCTTGTGACCAGTAAAGTCTGGAAAGAGGCATATCTTCGTGATAGTGGACCGCTTTACTAAATATGCAAGACTGATCGCTATGCCAGAAACTGCGAAAACTGACTATGTCATCAAACTGTTTCTGGATCACTGGGTTAGGGATTTTGGACTACCCACATCAATAGTGAGTGATAGGGATGTAAGGTTTACCAGTGAACTGTGGCAGGCAACTGCTGAACAAATGGGAACCAAGCTCCAAATGACTTTAGGGAATCACCCTGAGTCAAATGGTCAGGCAGAGCAGATGAATCGGGTAGTACAACACCTGCTTCGGCATTATATTAAGCCAAGTCAGGATGATTGGGACGAGCAGTTACCTCTCGTCGCCAGCCTGTACAATAACGTTGTGCGTAGTACTACGGGTATGACTCCCAACCAGCTACATCTTGGTTGGAAACCCAGAACTGCGCATGACTTTCTGCTACCAGAAAGGCAACCCACAGCAGCCCCTGGCAGCATAAAGTATGCTATCAAGTATGAACAAATGTTGCAGAAGGCAGTGGAACATATTAAGAAGTCTCAAGATGCTATGATTGCATCTGAGAACAAACATAGACGGCCTTCTAACTTTCAGGTAGGTGAGAGAGTCTG